GAAGCGCTGGTTTTCACCATTTGGAAGGCACAGACCTTTAACACTTGTTAGCATGTTACAGCAGCCTACTAGCACCTGGCTTACTAATAGTTTTTCATTCATGTGTCACTCTATCATTTTGGACCATCTGAACCATGCTTCCTTCTGTTTTTTACCTCATTCAGAGAGTTTGGAAATGGTGTGTTTCAGTAACGTTTGCTTTTCAATTCTAAGGACTTGAGAGCCGCCTAGTGGAGGCCTCTGTCTGAATCCCAAAATTCAGCGAAGTCTCCTTTTAATCACAGCGTGTTACATCCCTTATAGGTATCACTCCCAACACTGTTCTTATAGCTGAACATCACATAAGGACTTCAATTGGATTTCATATGTTTGTCTTTTTATAGAAATTTGAATGGATCTCTGAGATAAAAAAACTGAAAGTGGTTTAAAAAAATAAGGCAGAATTGAAGTATTGATTTCTCAGCATGAGACAACCTTATAAGCTAGTGGCCAGTACTAATAAGGAACTTAATTCTGTAGACCCAAGTCTGAACAAAATTAGAAAATATACAAGACGACAATGATACACTATACTTTATTAATATAAAACATCATTATGATTTATCAGCACCAAAACCTAACACATCAGGTAAACTGAACAAAATTGTAATCACAAACAAAATCCCATTATTTCAGATAGTGATCTCTTTTCCTCTTCTTTTGCCTATTACACATTTGATTAATGATCATGAGATGCAAAACTACAAGGCTCACATGCACTGATGTATCACTGACACGTCAGCCTGAATGGCAGTTATTTTAAAGCACGTGTGTATAAAGTCAGTAATGTACAAAGCTGTAAATGAGGCTGTGTCTCTGATGTTTTCTTTTCATTTATCTATTATTGCTTTACATGTAGAGGTTAACTAAAGATGAAAAACATTATCAACCCTGTTTTAAGTCAGTCTGGACTTCATGAGTAAAATCTGATTTACATGTGCATATATATTAGATCTAAGTACAGGAGTGTGGGCTCCCCACCTTTTTCAGGGTTGTAATAACATAAGGCACAGCATTAGGTGAGCATCCGCTGCTCAGCAAAAGCCAAGAAAGAAGGGTGAGGGAGCAGGGGAGTCAGGAATGTTTCCAAAGCACAGAAAGAAAAACATCAGGCTGAGTTTACAGAGCACACTGGGAGTCTTTGAGAGTCACAGGCATGGACAGACTCAGCAATGACACAATGTGGTCTATGTGTTATGGCTTTACTGGGACAAGAAACATGTCTCCTGATTCCTGTGAGGAACTAAGGCATGCCTACGAGAAGACACAGTGGCAAGACTGGAGGCAAGAAAGAGAACTGAGGAAGACCTGGAACAGGAAGCTACGGCAATGATGTGGGAATAGTTGGAGACCTGTGACAAATCAGACACTCATCTCAGGAAAGGCAAGGAAGTGCCTTGAACAGTAATCTCAAGGTCTCCATGGCTGAGGTCCTAGCTCATGATAGATGAGATTTCTCCATCATGAGTGTGACGGAGAAATGAGTTTCTGCGAATAAATAAACTTACAGTTTACACGCATTCCCCTTGACTGTAACAGGGTTTGCAGGTACCATAGAGTGCCGTAACTTGCTGCAAAGAGTCTGACTTATTGTGGCACTGCGCTGTTTTACCAACTGAAAAGCCAGAAAGAAAATGACTTAAAAAAAAAATCCTACAAAACATAGCATGCAATGGTATAAGAGTGAAACAGTATCTTAAAGAAATGTTATTTTTCTCTCAGATGTAGTATCCACTCTGAACTGATTTCAACATCCCATTTAAAACACAGAAAACTCTATACAGCATCTGAAATCAAAACCACAAACACAGATGAGGAGCTGAAAATGCCTATTTTTCATTTGGAAACACCAAGCAGACATCAAAACAGAGACACCAAATGGTAAAAAGGTGGAATAACTGCAGTAAAGATGCAGCATTGACAAGAAAATAATACCATCTTACCCAGAGAGAGAAGAAAACAGTGAAAAAGCGTATATGCTTACATCAACATACTTGTTTCCTTTTGGAGGTTTGTCTGTCAAATCAAGGAGTAGTTCACAAGACAAGTAGTATTCCTTGAGATATGAACAATCATTCTGCTCTGTTAGTGTGTAATATCCCGTGCACCGAGGCCAGTGTCTTTCCAGGCATGCCAAGCAATCCTGCTTTAAATCACTATCATAAATACAGATGTATATATTTTTTTTACATGTACAGCTAATATGTAGTTGGGAAAAAAAAACATGCATATGTATCTGTATATATATATGTATATGTGTATATATATATGTATATGTATATGTATATATCTATAGATCTATACCTATATCTATATATCTATATATCTAGGCAGAACAGAAGTGGAAAATACATAACTAAAGAATGAAAAAACAAAACAAAACAAAACAAAACAAGAAAGCTCAGTCCTTAACCAGATGCCACGGAATACCCTCTCAGAATACTGCATCTGACATGGACCATCATTGCCATTTACCATGAGATTATAGTTTAATAAGGACGGGAGCATCTCACTAAGAGAAATCCTTGGAAACTTCTGGTCTTTCAGCTGCTGGTAATTTGAAGAAATGATGGAGCAACATTACAAAATTCAGCTTCTTATACAGCATGCTTAAGCTTATATGGGATGTTTAGAAGTTTAAGATATTTTGCTTTGTAGATAATTTGTCCCTGTTTTAAGATGAAAAGACACATCTTAAAAGACACAATAAAAAAACCCATCATCTTAGAAAACACAATATATCTATACCCTGACTTTAAGTATGCTTTCTTGATAGCAAGTTTGTAATATTTTGCTTAGGGTATTTTATTTGCTTAGATGGTCTGGATTCAAACAGAAATAAGGTTGCTCTGAAACTGATAAATAGTATTGTTCATCTAGTGAAGTCGGAAGAATTGTCTGTAATTATCAAAAATTCACACACAACCTACAAGGGGTGTTCTAAGGAAAAGCTTTCAGTAAGGAGTCCTGCTATGACTGATGCTCTGACATACTCCAATAAAATTCTTCAAAGAGACCACTGCCTTATTTTAGGTGGCAATCTAGACTACAAACTGCAATGAAAAAGAATTTTAAAAGTTATAAACTTAAATTGCTACTTCATGTTACTGTAAGATAGAACTTGCAGTCATAACTCAAGTCAGGCATGTTCCAAACTGCAGGGAAACTGTGATAGATTTTGTTTTAAACAGATGTATGATTTCTCCCTCCACTAAAAGAAGAAATCAACCTATTGAATCCCATAGTCCTCATCTCCTAATCATTACCTCAGGGTATTGTGACAGGCATACCAAACTCAGAGAAGAACTCTTAAGAATTCCAGGTTCACCTAGAAGGTTAGAAAGGGGATCGTTTTTCTGTGCTCTTCCCCGGTGTTGAAGCTGATTATTTTGTGGAAAAGAAGACAGCATGCTTTGTCAAGATGTTTCATAGGACATCATCAAGGAAGACCATAAACTTCCTAGGGTGTCTATTCTCAGTGCATAATACTTGAAGGATCCAAGCAGGAAAGCTTTCCATCCTCTCAGGCAAGAGTTCTGGAGTAAAGTGAAACACCACTGGAGTGGAGAACCAAGTATTAACCTCTCTGTGCATCACTGACTTTTCCTGTAAATAAGAACTGGCAAATTGTTTATGCCTCTTAGGATAAAGCAGTGTTAAAAGAAAAAATACTTATCTGCGTACTTCCGTGAAATTTGCTGATAAAGCACACATAACTGTACCTCGCAACAATCAAGCAAGTGGAGGTAAAAATCTGCCTGCTGTGACATGTTTTCATGAATTCTGCCACAAGTCACATGCTTACACACAAGGCAGTCAGAAAGAAAAGGAAAGCTGTGTAAATGTGAGAAAAAAAATTGTAGAGAAAGAAAAATGGAAAAAAAAAAAAGTGAAGAGGTGGAGAATTCTGAGAAAGAGAAACAGAGACATCCAGTTTGGCTTCAGATACAAAGGGAGCTTTCTAACATCCAGACACATGGTTTCCTAGCAAATACAATGTTAGCATAGCCACATACATTTCTAGACAAGGCATTCAGTCATAGAAATAATTAAAAAGAATAAAAAAAAATTGCTTCAAAAGCAATAGACTCGTGTAAGTTAATTATAATTAATTTTTAAGTCATTCTAATTAGAATTACTATTCTGAAAGAAGACACCTATCAAGGACTCCATTAAATTGACACAGAACTGTATTAAGGATATCAATTTTAGCTGGAAAAGTACTGGCAAGAGAAGAAGGGAAGTTTTTTTTAAAAATAGTTTTCTTTATGGTTTTTAGTCCTACTGTAAATAGGCTGAATACTGGAAGTGAAAACAATTGCTTTAGACTGCTTTACAGTAACAGCTGTGGTTGTTCAAATAGCTACAGACGTTATGCATCAGATCTGCCTGTGAAAGAACGACCGTGCTCCACTGACTTTGAATCTATGCTGATTAATTAAACAGCTTCCTGGACACTTATGGTCACATATGAATGGAGGAGGGAGGGGCTCGCACAAAAACCATACCTCGCAACACCAAGTACATGCTGCACAGCCTTGATCACACGGGAAAGCAGATGGGAGGAGAAAGGAGGGAAAATAAATTATTTTTATTTGTATTTAATAAAATTTGGCCTGCAGGCTTTATGTGACTCAGAACTGAACATCTGGGATTGATCATAGGATCACAAACTGGAAAGCAGTCATCTGGCTTCTAGAAATAAACATGTTCAGTTCCTCTTCCACAACTTTCTTTTTTTAATGATAAGCTGCAACAGCCATTTTAAGACTTTTTAATACTTGCAACCACAGTATTTTTAACTTGAGAGTAATTTTTAGCATTACTTTTTCACATTGCGGCATCAGGCGACCTTTAAATTTCATTTAATCCTGAACTGGCAGTAGTGTTTGGGATTCCTCTCCACACGCACACACACGCATTTAATTCACTACTTTTTTGCCTCAAAATTTTATGAAACAATGGTAGTCTTGCAACTCCGATTTTTACTAGTTCCATTCCTCACAAGCGTCATGGGAGCGGCGCAATATATGATGCAAGACGCAGCTCTGATGAACTACATCGACCGGCGTTTCCTGTCTCTGGAGGTATGTGCCAGCTGTATCGTTCCGTAACGCGGCCGAACTGCAGGGAGGTTCGAAAAGGTATGAAAGATGCTTCTGTGTGTGCGAACACAGAACAGCTCGTATGATAAACAATATCAGGAAGATAAACTTCCAGCTTTCTCAAATAAGTAAGTAAAATTGTAGCTAAACCTTTAATTATAATGATTCCTAGCTACCATTATTTATTGCAGGATATAATTTCATAATGCTATATTTTTATTCTGTTATCATTTATATCTTTTTATTACATTAGTGAATTTAGCTAGATTTGCAAAGGTTTATAGTACTGTCACCTAGGAAACAGTATAACCAAATTGTCACCAGTGGAAGTGCTGTCAAGTATTAACAAGGAGATAGAAATTTATCAAGTATTTTTTCTATGTTCAGAGGAACCTAGCTGGAAGAGCAGTTGAAGACGTATTTATGTAAACTAGCAGTGTATCTGCACTTCAACTAGGAGTTTAGATAATCCCCTTAGAGCTGTGAGACTGAAATAGGTATTTGCTTTCAATTATTTAGATAAAAGTACCAATACCTGCTCTTTTTTCTGCAGTAGAAAACTACCAGTATTGTAAAATACCTTTTCAGTATTGGCATGGTGTAATCATACATAGCTCATCTTACAGCACTAACAGGTCCTTGGCTCCTGACTTGCACTGACAGACTTTTAGAGAAGCTTTAACTTGTCTGATCTTGCATTCCCTTTTCGTACAAAGCTCTCACTGGTCTTAACTTCACAACACAGAAAGAACAGAAGAATTAGCCTGGTATTCTGTTCCCATTGTACAGACTGAGATTAAAATTGTATTAACCACTATAGGAATAACTTCACCTAGTAATTTCCATTCATTTGGCACACATTAAAAATGATGCAATTCCACCTGTGGCATTTGGTGCAAGGGGCATCAAACAAAGAACAGGAAAAAAGGTGAGGCAGATATTGAAGTGAACACTTGAAAACATTTGAAATAAAGTTTTTGTAGAAAGTAATTAAACAGCTTCCTGGACACATATGAATGGAGGAGGGGAGGGGCTCACACAAAAACCATACCTCGCAAACCAACCAACCAAACCACCATCAAGCTTACATGGAACACATGCATATCACAGTAGTCATCTGGTAAACTCAGACATCCCCTAGTAAAACACCATCTGAAAACAAAACACCTGAAATCTGTGCATAAAGCACCAAACCAGAACATCCAATCTGGCAGTTAGATCTACTAAGATTGTGTGTTTAGGCTTAAAAATATTTAAACTCAATGTCCTCATCTTCCCAAAATGGCAGCTGGGCTTCTATTTTCAGATCACCTATGATCTTTACAAAAGCAGCAAAGCAGCTGCATTACAAAAGAGAAATCACATTCCTCACCTTTAAAAATGCTGATAATTTGAATCTAGGTATAAAGAAACATCTATATTTTCTTTTAAATACAACCAATAGTTTTACAAAACAACAATACACACCACCGAAAAACTTCTCAAACATAGAGATATCAGTACTTCCATTTTCCGTTTTAAATGGATGAAATATAGCCACACTAGATACTGTCTTGGTCAGAAGAGGTGTATTTATGTGAAATGTTCACGTTTGTACATTTCCTGCAGAAAACTTTTTGAGACTGCTTCACCAGTGGTCCTACAGGAGGAGTTCTGAAAATTCTCTGAAAAACAAGTAATCAGAGATCATGTGCCCTTAAGTATCTCCGGCTGTTTCCACCAGAGCATTTTTCCCTCTTTAGGCAGCAAAACAAAGCATCTGGTTGTCAATAACAACATCGAGAGAAAAAATGCGTCTTTTTGTCCAGAACCACGAATACTAGTGGCAGTCCAACATGTCCTTTTCATGTAGATATACAGCATCAGGCTACTGGTTCGAAATAGATGGGGGGCAGAGGGATTGGAAAGGAGAGAATAGCATGGTTTTTAAAGTAATCATGAATGAGGTTGTAATCTATACAGAATATACATGTATATCCATGTATTTTCTTCCTGTGTTCTAACTCAAGAAGAGGCTGGAACAATGCAACCACGACATACTGGATTACGTGGAAGAATTCCGAGACTTTTCAAAGATGGTACTGTCACGCCTGGCGGGACTGAACAATTATAAGACCGAGGTTAAAAGTGAAGTAGAGAATTTGCTAACAAGAATTGAACGAGCACAAAGGGACATTGACTATTTTGGATCTGTCACAGATTCTAATACATGTATAGAAGTACACGAAGACCTGGTGAAACAGCAGCTACTTGAAGAAGCAGAAGAAAAAAAGAAACTTAAACTCATGCTTAATGCAAGTAAGAACAGTTTACTTCTCAGAACTTTGATCTGAACGAGCCAGTCCCCTAGCCAATGGATGTATGCTGATATACAGATAACAGATTTTCACAAGTTATGTGAATACCACAGACAATTGCATGGGGTTTTGTCTGTGTAAATATTTGACTTTAAAAAAAAAACACCACCACACACACACAAAAAAACCCAACACCAAAACTAATAAAAAAAGATATGAGAGGGGGAGGGAAGAAGTACAGTTCAAACACTTATTTTGCAGATACTTTACTGCATATCAAATTGATTCTCTGGAAGATGCTTTTTATTATAAAGTAATGTAAAAAGCCTCTGAAGGTATTATCTTCCAAAGTCCCAGAAAAAAAAGCCAGTGTATTTCAGAGTATTGCAGCTATATCAAGGAATTAATGGTGGTCTTTGGTTTTTGGAGTAGGCAGAGATCAGAACCTCAACTCAAAAGTGACTCATGAGTTAATAAAAAGACTTAATTTGCTTCTACAATTTGCATCTGTTTTACTGTCCTCTTCTGTTTTTCTTTTTCTCTCTCGTCCCTCCATGTTCTTTATCAAGAGAGCACACTGACTTCGTTGCAAGGAAAGCTCGGTTCTGATTTGAAAATTAAATGTTGTTACCTAGTATGAAGAGCATATACATAGTCTATACTTTTTTTTAAACAGATTAAGTTTTACAATGATAAGTATCTCTACCTTAAGAAAGTTGAGTTATAGATATAAATTACATATTGAAGACATATTTGAAGTAGTCTGTTTCATTTCCATTCAGAAGTAGTAAGAAGTGAAAAATAAACAATAAGAAATATAAACTGCTGGGTTTTTAAAAACCCAGGTGAAAGATCTTTAGCATAATCAATTACACAATTCCACTAACTTCAACAGAATTAGTCTGATTTAATTTTACAAATTAAACTTTTTCAGCAACAGACTATTAAGGCATATGGTAACAGAAGCAATGACCTATTCTGCTTCTAAGATCTAATCCTACACCACAGTCAAGTGCTCTGAATATCAAGATTTCCTTTTTCCATATATTTTTTTAACATTAGGCATTTTTTTGAAAGGCAGAAAAAATTAGGAATTTTTAAACTGCCTATAGTAAGGACACTTTGAAAATTATACCTTTCTGAGAGTTTCAGAGGGAAAATTACTTTCCATTTTCCCTGTTTGAAACTATTATTTTTAATTTTATTGCAGCAGTTCATAGCAACTTTACTTTTGTCAACACTAGCGAGATGCTTGTCCCATTGAAGTTGATGGCAAAACTAGTCACTGTGTAGATTTTAGAGCACTTAGAAAAAGGAGCAAGACATTCCACTCTAGCAAATAGCAGCTCTGCTTCTACACTACCATATATTAACCAGAAGTTATGATTATTTTTGCTGAGTCAAGCCAAAACTCTAGCAAAAAATGTTCATCTATGTCCAACTTTGTTATTGGTTTTGGTTTAAGTTCACACAGACTTGAAAAAAACAATCAAGTAGAGTCACTTTTTTTACATGCAGTACTTGATATCTCATCTTGCTTTGGGTGGGAAACAGGAAATTATCTTCTGCACATTTTGGAGCATGATAAGAAACAGTGAGCTTTGAACGTATCACTGTGGAGACTGGAAAACTTTTGGTAAACGTTTTGCTCACTGTGAACATCTCAGTTTCTCAGTCTTCCTGCAAGCTGCTATGAAAGCCACAGAGAGTTAAAAGTTTCTCTCAAGAAGAAAGACTCTATTCATAGATTTCAGATAGTAAGCTGGTTATTTCTTCTGCAGAGGGAGATGTTGCTAAGGCTGGCTAGATATTTTGACTCAACAGTTTTAAGTTTCTAGAATCTATCTAATCAATAAATGTTAGATTTGGGAAAGCTACTGTAACTCACTCAGGGAAGGTGCATCCAGAACGACTTCCAACAAAAGAATCCATTACTGTAGCAGCAATATCCAAATGCTTTGGTTAGAGGGTATCAGTACACACAACTGGCATAAAGGTTGCTTTCTACAGGCAACTGGAATCTTGCCACTGACTTCAATAGGTTCATATCAGGCCAAATAGGGAGGCTGGTTTTGCTTTCTCCATCTCATCTACTGCCAGAGCTTTCTGCCTTAGGGCTTTGTTTGTTCTGTTTACTAAAACGGCTGCACTTCACCAAAGGCAATTCTTTAAACTTCAAATAGTTTTTCTTGTAATTTATGAGTGCCTTTGGTAAACAAGCTTGTTAATATGCTTTGCAGTACAGTTTTTCCTGGAAAGGATGGTCCCTGATAAAGATCTTAGAGTCTATATGCCTGAGTCTTCACAAGCTTGGTGCTTTTTGGTCTTAAACATCTGTGCAAAGTGCATACAAAATGTAATGAAGTCAAAACTATGATTCGCTCTCTGCTGGTGCCAATTTTACCCCCATACTGAGGTAACGTAATTCCACCAGTCATGCTTCTAGCACAAGAATTGATAACACAGACATCATATCAGTTCATTTAAAGACCACCTTAATGTACGGCCATTCCTGATTTTGTGATCTATATATTTGTTCTAGTTCCTTTGTGCTGTAGGTGGTGGGAAGGCGAATGGGAAGATAACCTAGTGTTTTGGCTTACTGTTGTGATGATCTATTTTTATTTGTCTTTATGTCGTAAATGCAAAAAGAGAGGCTAACAGAGGATAAGAGATTTCCTGAAATAAAAATGCTATACACATAGTAATGTTTCCTGCATATCAGGAAAATGGATTTTAATTTGTATGCCTCAATAAGAAATAAATGTGATTATTTTACTGTGTAGATCTAAAACAGAAGTCACTTCTCTGAAGAGAAAATTTTAGCCCTGTAAAAGAACTGTCAAGAACAATCAGAGAATCACTAACTGTGCTCTTGGTCTCCTCTCAGGTACACAAATAGAATCCCTTCAGGATTACACTGATCTAACAGAGCAGAAAACAACACACTATGTGTTGCTGAAGATGTGCAGTTTCCTTAGCAGGAGATATGAAATTTATCACATAAAATTAGCTTCAACGCTACTTACCATAGCCATGCTGCTGGCACCTTTACTGATGTATTGACCCTGGTCTTACAGTGGGATTAAAAGGAAACTAAGTTATTCAAAGAAAGGAAACTAGAAAATTCACAGATATTCTATTTTTTTTAACTTTTTCTTTTTTTTTTTTTTTTTTTTTTTTGTGTCTTTGGGTGTTTCCTTGCAGGTTGTGACCACATGCTTGCAGGTATTAAGTCCCTAAAGATAGTTAAGAAGACTGGAGATAAGCATGGCTCTTGGATGAAAGATCCTGGCAAAAAGCATCCAAAGATTTATTTATTAAATGGTTCAGTAAATAATGTTATTTTGGAATTTGCAAATATCATGACATTCATGGAAAGCAACCATACACTAAAAGCTCGCAGAGTCACCTTGCCACTTCCCTGGGAAGGAACTGGCCACATCATATATCAGGGTTTCTTGTTCTATCACAGATATGGCTCCCTAAATGAGATAATTAAATTCAATATCCAGAAAAGAAATATAACTGACCAAATGCTACTGCCAGGGGCTGGAAGGATTCCTGCCTATAAGCTTTCTTCATCTACAAAAATAGATCTTGCCATTGACGAGCAAGGGCTCTGGGCAATCCATGCAGAACCAGAGACTGGAGGAAACATTGTAATTACTAAAATCAATCACATAACCATGGCAATAGAGCACACTTGGGACACATCATGCAGCAGCAAGGATGCTGAAGCAGCTTTCATGGCATGCAACACACTCTATGTTGTCTATAACTTTCCTAGTGGAGGAACCTCTCGCATACAGTGTGTTTATGACGTTTTGGATGCTGTAAATACTTATGAAATCCCTGCATTGCATTTTCCAAAACGTCAGGGTAGCCATTCCACTATACATTACAATCCTAAAGAAAAGCAACTCTTTGCTTGGGGTGATGGATCCCAGATCATTTACAAGCTTCACACAAAGCAAAAAGTTTAGAAGGTTTAGTAACTTTTCAAATACGCTTTTTTGCTACACAAATGCTAGCAGTGCCATGACAACATAGTCATTAAAGTGTATCAAAATTACGTTGTTCACATCTGTACAACTTTCATCTATTTTACATAAATTTAGGCTTACATACCTATTACATGTCCAATTAAGAACATGTAAAGAGTCCACTAATATGAATTACATGATGAGTAAATACCACACATGCACAACTCACACATACAAATTAGTCTTGAAGACTAAGGTTAATTAAAACAAAAATCATCCATCTCTGACATTCTCTTCCTATCAAAACTATATATTCTGCTCCAGTGCCATGGAAATCAAATCAGAAGTCCTTCCTGTCCAGTACACGTTATCTGACAACCTTCACCACCCTGAAGCTCACTGTAGGAAGCCTTCTTGTGAGTACCATAAAATCACACACTTCCACAGAAATTTTCTGCAAAGTTTTAACAGGAGAGTTTTATTACATCACAAAGCATAAGAGTATACATCCTCACAAAGATAGTTTATTTTTAACATATAGTTCTTGTACATTACATCAAGGCTATTCCTAATCATCGAGCTTCTAGAGTATTTATATGAAATTTCCACATTTTTGTTAACCTTATAGCTGTACAGTCCGCTTTTGATCCTGCTAATACATTAGCTACAGCTAAATATTCACTTTTATCAGCTTTGGTTTGCCACTTTTCTTTTTTTTTTCAGTGTATCACTGCTTGTGTGTCAAAAGGAACGTTCCTACATGATCTGTTCTGTTTCACATACTATTTTAAAATGTTTTACATATCACTTTTTAATTGTTTCCTTTCTTATTAATCCTCTTTCAGCATCTAGTTGAGGTATTTTTTCAATACTTCAAATCACTTCCACTGCTCATAGTGAAATCTTGCTTATCCATACTCTGACTCCAGCAAAATGCCTGTACAGAAAAGGTGGCCCTGATGAGCACAATAGTGCAAGTGAGGGCATGTCACTGGTCAGTCCTGGTTTTGTGAGTAACAGATAAACTTCAGGTAAATACAAACACACTTCTGTGTCAAAATAATATTTTAAAAACAAACAAACAAACAAAACCCCCCAAAACCAAAACACACAGAAAACACACACACTCAAAAACCCAAACAAACAACAAAAAAAGAACACCCAACCAAAACAAACAAACAAACAACAAAACCTAGATTTTTACTTGTGAAATACAGGTACAGGCTGCAGTTTTTGGATTTTAGCGACAGCTGCATTTCTATTTAATAACAACAACAACAACAACAAATCATGACAAAAATAGTACTTGAAAAGCAATCCACAGCTGTTTCTACAGAAAGCCCGTTTTGTTTTTTACACTGAAAGAGCTGTTGTTCTATTTAAAAATAGCTTCAACAGAACAGCCAAACATCAGGGAACGGTTTTGAAAAGGAGTTCCAGAATACAACTAAGAGAGTAGGGACTGCTGAAGTTGCAATAGTGCTATTCTGCTTTTAGCAAAAGAAACTGTATGGTTCTAAGCAGTCTTAATGACCATAGCATTACTTCTGTGTTACAGAAGCCAGAGAGACCACAGTTAAAGACATCCCCAGGCTGAGAGTAAGGTGGGCTGGCACCGATTTCCTGTGTGACCACAGGTCAAAGGCAGATTCCACTACTTGGCCTTTTATTCCTCATCTGTAAAATTACACACACACAAATACAAAATGGTATTAGCCACCTTTAGAATGCTTTAAGATCTTTTACTGCAAAAGGATGTGTAATTTCCTTTACTTAACAAATAAAGGCTTTTAATGTAAATGTAGATTGAGTCTGCTCTTTAGAAAAGGCATTCTTGGAACATGCTATGCACCACACCATCACACAACAGAGATTATTATTCTATATACAGATTTCAATGAGCAATCTTCAGAAGTTCAAGCAAGGTCCTCTCTGAACCTTGCTGCCCTGGAAATTCAAGCTTCATAAAGAATTAAAGATAGATACTGCCTAGTTTTGATAAAAGGAGGAAGTTGTGTGTAGGTGAGCTTCACTAGATTATTTCATATTGTACAAAATACAAAAGAAATGAAACAAAATAAAAAACAACAAAGTTTTCACAAATCTCAAAATTGAGGTTCAGTTACAAGGACAGGCAAATTTTCAAGCCTTCTAGTTTCAAAATTGTATATGAACAACCAAACAATTTGAAGAGTTGGAATTCCCAGATGTTAATCCTGATACTGATTTGTTGGCAAACCATTTACGTACAATCATAAGAGAACAAGGACAGAAGGAGGCATCATTGAATTAGCTTGTCTCAACTATTTTTTAAAGCCTTTAATGGTAAGTACTCAACAACTTTCCCAGGGATTTACTCCATCAATTTACAAGCCAGCTGCTGTAACATTTTTCCTAAAGCAGAGTTTCAGTTTTCCTTGTTGCAAAGCAACCCCATTGATTTTTGTCGTGTCCAGCATAAGAAGGTAAGAGTAGCCTTATTTAATCAACCAGAGAGTTATCCAACTCAATAGCCGATCTCAAAGATGTACCAAAAAGGAATACATATGGAAGAGCATAAGAACAACGCAAATATGTATCTCTCCCTTTAGTGATTCATGCCAGAGGCACTGTCTTTGTGCTTAGTGAAGACTTCTTTCACGAATTTCATAGAATCAAAGAATGGTTTGAGTTGGAAGAGACCTTTAAAGGTCATCTAGTCCAAACCCCCTGCAGTAAGGTGGGACATCTTCAACTACATCTGGTTGCTCAGAGCCCTGTTCAACCTGACCTTTACTGTCTCCAGGGATGGGGCATCTACCACCGCTCTGGGCAACCTCTTCCAGCGTTTCACCACCCTCATCGTAAAACATTTCTTCCTTATATCTAGTCTGAATCTACCCTCTTTTAGCTTAAAACCATTACTCCTCGGGCTGTTGAAAAGTCTGTCCCTATCTTTCTTATAAGTCCCCTTTAAGGGAACTTATAAGGGAAAGGCCACAAGAAGGTCTTCCCAAAGCCTTCTCTTCTCCAGGCTAAACCCAAACTCTCTCAGCTTTTCCTCATGTTTAATGTCATCCTGCTGTGTAACAGTGCCCGTTTTTCTTCATGTGTTGTTTCTCACCCTGCGTGCTTGTCACAAGGCAGAGGACACTGCTGCAAAGACATGCATGGAAGCTTAGAAAAGAAACTGCAGAATTGAAACCATTAAGATGCAGCTCTCCTGATACTGAAGAAATAGCTCCTTCTGAAGGCAAAAAAATGGGACCTGTTGCTCGCTAAGTTATTTGAGCTTTTTGTATGTTTAAATTGCATATAAGAAGATGACACTTGCACTATATTGAACCATAAGCCCAGGAAAAGGAATATACAATCCAAGGAGTGCAGTTATAGAAAACCAAAGTGCAAATAAGGTCCATTTACAGATGTGGAGGAACTCCAGCATGCAGGCAAGGCAGTGGTATGCGCTGGGGAACGAGAGTAGGGTGATTTCTTGCCAGAGAATTGGCACACTGCTTGGCATCACTTAGAGATAGTAACGGATTTCAGTATTCATTGATAGACCATGATGGTCACTGCTTATGTTGAATTATATTGGTAAGAACTCTGCCTATACCATTTGTTTCTCTCCTAAACAGCTTGATCTATGTGCAGATTTCTTCATGACGACATTTCCACCCATTTATTTCTATTTAAGGCCTAATCCAAAGACTGCTGGTGTAACTGGAAATTTCTTTTTAACTTCTGTTGTGTCTCCGCAATGCCACACTTGCATGTCTCTACAACAGTCCTAACGTCTTCTTGTCTGTCTTTGTTTAAAAGTGGGCTTATCTAGATCTCAAAAATTGGGCAGTATTGGCATGAATACTTCAGAAAGTCAGTCTGAAAGAGAGGCTAAATTTTGCTGTTATGTACATCCCATGAAGCCTTGTTCACACTAAAAGGAGTATCTAAAATATCTATCAGTGAAGAAGTTGACATTTTCTATTAAGTGCCATAAAAATTTATGATGTCATTACTGCCACTACACAGGGCATTAAAAACAAAACGCTGCTGATACTTGCCCATGTTTTAAGAGATAATACTGAATAACTGACCCTGCAAAAGAATTAGCAAATCACACAGTGAGTTTCCCTAAGAAACAAGATCTGTAAGAAACAAACCTCTTACAGTGAGTTATTGTAAAACATGTATGAAAAAAAGAAAAATCTTGGAGCTTTGTTAATTTTGCTAGTATCTTAAACCTGTAAAATTCTTTTTTGCAATTGAAACTAACAGTTTATTTCAAGTAAAAAATCTTGTACTTGGTGACATGAAAATAAGGTGTACTGGGTTTACGGGAGGGGCTGTGGAAATGGCCCCTGTAAGTAGCTGCAAAAAGCTTCCCCAGCTCCAAAACCAGTCGGACCATCCTCTGGCCAGGTCAGAACCCCTCCCATCCCCTCAGGCCAGGGCTGCAAGCACCTTTTTTAAGAGGGGGACAAAGGAGCCCAAACCGAGGCAGGCCCTACACTGAAGAGAGCGAGGAGGTGGGTGGCTGCCTGCACTGGACTGTCACTACTGATGTTCATTGGGCCCGGCACGGCTGCAACAAAGAGACCTGAGAGTAATGGCCACGCAGACACCAAGGTCAGCAAAGATGGAGCTGGAGGAGGTGTGCCGGAGCTGAGATTCCCCTGCAGCCTGTGGTGAGACAGCAGGCAGCCCCCCTGCTTCCAATAGAGATTAACGGTGGAGCAGAGGTCCACCTGCAGTCTGAGACGCTTGTGCCTGAAGGAAGTCATAGAGAATGGTCCCTGTGAGCTGCTAGAGGTTGATGACAAGGTAGAAAGACATCTGAAGCCCATGGAGAACCCCATACTGGAGCGCATGGTAGCTCCCTAAGAAGCTGTGACTCTGTGTGGAAGAAGCCCGTGCTGGAGCAATCTGATGGGTAAGGATTGCATTCTGTGGGAAGGACTCACATTGGAGAAGTCTGTGGACTGTCCCATGAGGAGGGGATCCATTGGTGCAGGGGAAAA